AAGCTGGGACAGCTGAGAGCTCCACATAAGGAAGCTCTCCTGTCCCCATTAACCCCCACCCACAGCATAACTCTATGTAGGAGTGTACCAGTCAGCCCATCATCTAAAAAACCCAAAGCCAGGATCGTAAAAAACTAAGCTTGTGCTTACTAGCCCTGGAATCAGGATCAGTGCTTAAATCTTGCCTCTTGTGTTTTCTACCTGGATGACCTTGGGCCCACTGCTTAACCTCCCTGTGACCCAGTTTCTTCATCTGTAAAATGAGGGGATTATACTAGATAGCCTTTCACATCCCATGGCTTGAGGTTTGTGATACTATAAGATTTAGGGGCTAAGTGGCAGGACAACTAAATTTCAGAAGTGAGTGGTGGTTAGATGAGATAGTTAAAGGCTAGTAGGGTGTGAGTAGAGCTGAAGGCTATGCTCTTAGGTTCCTGAAGGGGAGCGGGCTACACTGGAGATAAAGGATGGGCAAAGGGGAATGTAATGGAGACTGGGTAGGGGGTAGCTAAGTAGAAAAGCTGGACACTCATTGTGTGAGGCAGTTTAGTTCTTGCCTTTCCTTCCACCAAAGAGCTAACACCCCTCCCTCCCATTTCTCCTATCCCCGCCCTCCGAGTCAGCTTTGCTCATCACTGCGGATTCTGGTGACTCATCTTCCTGCACCAGAAGGCTGTGGCACAGAGGGGGCTGGTGGCCTCAGTAAATAGAAGAGCCAATAATTAATCTCCTTTGACCCCAGCCTACAAACCCTCATTATTGTTCACAAATTTAACATCCTGGGGGGCCAGAAGGTACACTGAGGACATATGGGAAAGCTAAAAGGAGAGAACCAGGGTCACACTCCCTCTTCCCTTCATATTACTTTTGAGGAGTTAGATTCCTTAGTTCTAAAGGACAGAAGGGGCAAAAATTGGAAATATAAGAATCTGGGATTTCTGTATCCCCCTAGGACCTTGCTTTTGTCTTCAGGGCACAAGATTGATCTGGGTAGCTATTTGAGGTATGGGACAAATGTCATAGGGTGGCTTCTTTTCTTTTTTTTCAACTCCTGGAGAACCCCCAAAAAGTTGCAGGAAAGGGCCGATATCAGTGGCAGGTAGGTACAGAAAAGGAAACCCACCCCACCATTCTCCTCCTCACTGCCCCCACTCCATACCTCCTGTAGTAGATCTGCTTGTTCTATGGCCTTCAGCACACTTTTCTTAGAGGTATCCTGGACATCACCACCCATCAGAAATTCATCCAAGATGAAGTAGGCCTTCTCAAAGTTGAAGATGATGTCGAGTTCACATACCTGAAACATAGGAACATAGATTTAGGGCCAGAAGGGGCTTTAGAGGTAATCTAATCCAATCCTTTCTGGATAACTTGACCCAGAGAATTTAAGTCATTTGCCCATGGTTAGGAAAGTGGTAGGCAGAGCTGAGATTCAATCTAAGGTCCTCTGACTCCAAATTCAGCAGTTTTCCCATAACACCATCCTAGGATGGGGAACAGGAATGAGCCATCAGAGGACAGATCCTCCCAATCCTGCCTCTCTCCCCTAACTCCCTTCTTTATATTCTTAGTTTATGATTCTTCTATCCTAGACTCCTCACCGCACTTCTTCTTCAGTCAGCTAACTTCCCCTTATCCCACAACAAATCCTGTTCCTTCTCTTTACTGAACTTTTGCCACATCTCCCATCACCAATCTCTTTATGTCCCTGTCCAAGTTCTGAGTTTCTGCCCTCAACCTTTGTCTGAGGTCATAGGATCCAGAACTTGAATGGATATTTCAGATCTTGTCTAATTTCCTCATTTAACAGATGAAACTGAACCACAGAAAGGCAAGTTGACTTGCCTAAGGTCACAGAGACATGATGTGGCAGAGACAGCATTCAAACCCAGGTCTTTAACCCCCAAATCAGCTCTTTTTCTACAAATGCCATACTCTTCTAAACCATCTCCTGAAATCTGAGATCTGAGCTGTCTTTCCTAATTCTGAAGTCTGATACCCATACCTTGGGGATTGAAGTAAATTTCTACTTTTTTTCACTCCCACTAAGGGCTCATTAGAAGGCATGGCTAATAGGCTTAAATCTTTATAAAAAGGGATTACTGTTCTCACTGCCCTTAATTCATCTCCTGATCCTCTTGGGGGAAGCCTAAAAGGTTCCCTGGTTTTGGCAGAAGGAAAAGGTAGGTGGTGAAACTGGGGAGAAACTTACACTGCCAAAATACTTGTCCAGGAGCTCCACATATCGGTGGATCAGTTCCAGTGTGATGAGCTCATTATCTTGGCCCTCAATGGCGCAGCAGAAGTAGAGGCTGGCATATCTGGGGAAAGAGGCACATTGTACAACTGGGGGAATAGGATGTTGGGGTCAGGGGTTCTAACCCTCCAGGCCCAAGCACTTGTTTTAGTCTTTGGTCCCAGGCATCTGATCCCCAAGATTCCAGTTCCCTTCCCACTCTACCCCCTCCCTCCAAACCCAACCCACTACTTCCTGGGGCAGCTTGTAGGCCCAAGGTAAGGTTAGAAGAGTGGTTCTGCCACACAAACCTCCCCAGGTCTCTTTCCTTGCCCCTTTGATCTTAGGAACAGACACATGGGAAAATATAAACTTTCCTTTTTGTCCTCTGACCTACTGTGTCTGACTCAGCAAAACCTGAATCATTTACCTACTTGGAGGAAGAACTAGAACATGTGCAATGGAGGGTTAGAGGCAATATACACAGGGCTTCTAAATAAGATTGGAAGAGGGGAAAGAACCTGCTGCTCAGGGACAGGATATTGTGGCAAAAGGCAGGTTTTAGAGATATGGGGAAGAAAAGTTTGTGAATGAGGGTGTGGTCATGAAAGAGATTGGAGGCAGAGATTGATTCCTCCCTTATTTTCAGCCCCCACCTATTCCCCATGCCTAATTTCAGCAGCTGAAGCAGCCCCTCCTCTCTCACACATACTGTTCAACATCTCCAAATGCCCATTTCAGCAGGACCCAGGCAAATGTGAGTCGAGAATAGGGGCTTTCAAGAATTGGGTATCACCTCTTATAGACAACTTTGAGGTCTCTCCACTCCAGGAAGCTGCACATCTTGGGCTTTCTGGCCAGGACGACCTGCATAAGTTCTCGAACCATCTTTTTCCTCTCCTTGTCTG